CTATGACGACACCCCATATTATTTTAGGAAGAATTTCGAGCTAATGGAAAACTGACACTCGCCAACCACCGAGTCATCGACAAAACAAGTAAATAAAAATGAACAAAACAATTTATATTACGTGAAATGCTTCAAACAAAGGGTGCAAATAATTTATGCGCCTGTTTTCGAAGTTATCAAGAAATTACTTTAGCAGTACCGCCCAAAACAATCCACTTGTGTAATTAGTATGAACATAAAGTTCTACAGGTTTGAAAAATATGCTGTTCAAAGAGGACTGTAAAATAGCATCGTAGTTCTAAGCATTCTAATAAAGTGAACCAATCATTAAAAAGTCACTTTCAAACCAATTACAATCACACCGATGGTAAGAATGAAAAGGAAGGAAATGAATGACACTAAGACCTACCTCCAATACCAATAGTACTTTGGAGGTGGGATGATACTAGCTTTGGAGGCAGCAGCATCAACGGCTTTAAGAATATTGAGGGATTGCTGGAAGACGGCATTATCACGAGGAAACATGAGGCCAAGTTGGAGGAGATCGAGGCCCTTGACCATGAGGTCCTTGTGCGGAAGGCGAGTGACGCAGCGCTGGCGGTCCACGGTGTCATTGCGACGGAAAGTAGGGGGCGAGGGCGAGCTGTGATGGTAGAAATGATAGTGGCTACCACAGCTGCCTCCAGACCCACCGCCTGAAACACCACCTTCCATCCCAAACGCGTCTGGAGTCATGGTCTGCATTGCGCTATGCCGCCCTCCGCCTCCACTACTACTACTACCACCACTGCCGCCACCGCCCACGTCACACAGAGACCCCGGACGTGTCGGTGAGCGTGCGCGTCGATGCAACTCACGCACCAGTCTGTCCGGGTTTATTAACTGATAGGCCGTAGTTTGAAGGAAGTGAAGGTACATGTGCCTGCAAAAACATTATCCACTGGACTCTTTCCATTTCTAAACTGGGACGGTTACATTTCTCAGAAGCGATTGAGAATCACCAGATGAACTTAAAAAGTTGCCTCTACCAATTCTTTGGATATCACAGTGCACCTTTCCTGAAAAATTATACTGTTAGTAGACCATAGCACTGATTTTACAGGCTTAGGCATTAATTTTTGTTATTGTTAGAAGGAGGCGGATGATAAATGATTGATCAGTAGCATCTTCACTTACCAATGTTCTCCGTTAACCACTCCTATAACGTCAAAAACATTAATCAAAGTTACATAAAGCATTGGGTTTCACATTCCCTTCCCTAAATCTGACAATTCCGTTCTGACTCTACTTTGTACATAGGGTACCGGAGGAGTCGAATTCATAATAGCTCTATGTTTTGCTCATTCAACGCTAAAAGGCTTAAATTTAGAGGCTAATGTGAAATGCAACAATGGTCAGTCGTGCTTACGTGGTGCTCGAAAATAACTTCCGTGAAATCTACATTTCAATGGATCTCTTACCAGTTATTTTTGCAATTTTATCACCGCTCATTGCTGTACAGTATGAAATGGGATCTTAAAAATACCATATTTCATTGGAAGCATGATGTTGAGGAGTTGTGAAGACGAAGTGTTGTCCCGCGAACTCTCAATTGCTTAAACGGAGGACATTCCTCATGCAAAGGTCGTCTGAATTTGTTGGCTCATTTGGAGATGTGAACAGTTTGTTGCAAGCGCAGTGTAATTTATGATACTTGAATGCTCTAGTTATCGGTAAAACGAACCACATGCTTGGCTGTCGTAAGCTTTGCATTTCTAAAATTAGTGAAACAAACTACTAGCTTCGGAAGTTGCGCTGTTACAAGTATGAACTTAGAAGTACGACTGCCGTGTCACTCCAGAGGAACAAAACCTGGGACCACTGAATAGCAGCACATACTGCAGTGTTGCACATTAATTCGGTGGCGATTTCTGTTAGTAGTAATCAAGGTCTGGAATCCAAATAAATCGCCCACAAACGGATAAATTTGTAAACTTTGGTACTGTTACAGCTGGGGGTACTTTTTAAGTAATTTGATGGTAAGTTAACACAGTAAAAGAAAGTTTTTTTAAAGAAGTTTAGCGATAATTCAGATATCAAGCAGAAGAGTCAAGACCTATAGAAATGGCCCCACTTAACAATTCAATTGTCAAAGTACTTGGCAATCTACTTAAATGAAACTTAAACAGACTAAGGTGGTGCAGTAAATCTACCCAACAGTGTTAACCGGTTGGAAGGCTAGTGTCCATGGAAGGAGGCTCACCAATCATTGATACGACCAACTCTTTGAAAGACCGGTCGATAGCGCCGGAAGTCAGCAAGGACAGCGGAGGAGCCGAGAACGAGAAGACGGGCGCAAATGAACTGCAGATCGGTCAAGAGGTCAATAAGACCATTCAACCGTCCCGCCTTGAGCATGTGCTCCCCTACTGAGCGACAAAAATAGGTGTGGATCAACTTGAAGTCGGCCAGTTGGTTCCACTGACCTCCAAAACGAGTCTTGTAATTGTCCACGAATTGACAGTGGCAGATCTTAATTGAAAAAGAGACAAGTCGCATATTTATGACACCTCAGAAGATACCCTTACCAGGAATGCTCTTGTTTCAGAAGCCAGATTTTGCAAATGTAAGCATCATCGCGCACATATTTATGATTTTAAAGAAGTTCGTTGATCCACTTATTTAACAGTTGAAATATTTTCAGAGAAAAGCCTTTCGCTGACATAACGAAGACAGCTTGAATCATTGTCTTTCCAAGAACATTGCAGAGGGGTCCAAAGTCATGAGCATTACTAACCTGCTGCTGCCTGGTAGGAACGGTGGTTCGAAGGAGGTCTAACTGCAGGTTCGGAACAGAGAAGAAATTACGTCCACTTCCATCATCTCGTCTGCACTGAATCAAAGAGAAGCGGTGTAGCCTCTGAAGTGTATCCACCGCCTCCTCCTTTGCGCACGACCAATAAATCTCATACACCTATTTTGAGAGAAAACTGGCACATTTATACCACATTTACTGAAGCCTTTACAGAATACACAACCCTATAAAAGTCGTTAGTTGAAAACATAGCCATGAGTTTTCATGACGATTGAAACACACCTTTTACATTTGATTTAAAATCAGTTTGAATAACAGCAAATAAGTTTTATTCCCCGAGTCTCGTAATGAACTCTCAAGAAGACAGCTAGCTGAACGAAATCAAAAAAGTTTATGTAAAGACGTCAAACTTATCGACAAAACAGCTTATAATTTCTTGGGCTCGTCGTGAACCTGAGAGCTAAGTGGGAAAGGAATAACAAAAGATAGCATCCTCGTGAGTGAACAACTGCTGCAGCAGTTCGCACTGAAAGGCAAGTCATTCCTAACAGATGGAGGTCGGAGTGGTGGAGTGACAATTGCGCATTGCTACCTTTGATGTGATCGAAAACTAAAACGCCATGTACTTATGGATTAGAATTTACCCTTAGTAGCGAACTAAAATATCGAATGACTGGAGGCCGAGACAGTAAACGAATTGAGAACAAGAATTAACGGCAGCACATAAGGATCATGAAGGTTGGTTTAATGTAGAATAGGGAGTAGAGCTCCCCAATAAACCCCGATTCGCCTATCCCAGCTATACGCTGCAAGTATGTGATATTTTCTTTAGTACCTTTATAAATGGATGCACTAAAGCCTATTACAAGCAGAGCAAAACAAAATTGCCAGCAGCTAAACAGCACTCGACTTCACCAAGTATGTGACGCAAGTGTTGGGCCATTGGAATGAAGAACCACCTGGAATGTTATGGGAAAACATTCCTGAGACTATGATCGTGAATGGGTTGATTAAACCCAATGCTGCTGTTTAACTGGTCAAAACGTAGGAAAGTATGGGAGAAAAACAAAGCCGAACAAGAGACGATCCATTAGGAAGTAGTCAGTAAAGATGGGGTAATCTTAGGCGAAAATGAATGTGCTACAAATGCCAGTGAAAAGGACGGGGTGGACGAACGACGTGCCATGCATATGCAAGGCAGATGAGTCAGTGCACGAGGGCAAGGTCTCTGGTCGTGTCCGCACAGTAGTCATGGCGAATGCGGACAGAACTACTTTTGCCCGATGACGATGACAACGCATGAATAAAAAAACACAAATGTAAGAGAAAACAATATTCAATGCCATTCTTATGCATTTAGGTTAGGTTTTTGGCTCGAGTTTCAGAGGCATCCAACGATTAAAAGGACTTGACGTGTCTACTAGTAAAAACCCCATAAAAATAAAACATTGGATATGGGGTTAGTACTGTAGCAATGAATGAGTTAATGATGTCATGGGAGGAGGTAAGTGAGAAGAATCAAAGATAGACGGAGATGTACATTTGCGGTAGTGGAAATTGTCGACTGATAATAAGGATTTGGGAAACCTAGGGTTCGCAAAATGACGATGAATAGGGACCATACTGATTAAAATGAGGCATGCAATGTGGTTAGAGTAATAGACAGATGTAGTTCTTCAGTCCAAGCAGGAAGATGCAGAAACCATCAGATCGATCATGTTCACCTTAAAACAAAACGTATTCAGTCTCTAGTCGATGAAAGAAGAGCGGCGAAGATAAACACTTGAATCAAAGAATATGCACGGAACAAAGGCCGATTTTAACGTCTTAAGTAGTATAAACTAACGAAGGACGTAACCGATGCAAATTTTTGCTGCAGTTAACCTTTGAGAACCTCCCAACCAATTAATGCATCAACTAGCGCAAATAAAAAACGGAGAGGAAAAGTGGGCTAAACAATGTACTGCCAGCTACCTTAGTTTTATCCATTGTGTGTGACATGGAAAGATAACAAATAAGATTTAAACGAACATACCAACTCATATCCACAGAATTAATGCCCAAGAGTATACTACACCGTTTATACCTATCGGAAGATGAGGAAGACGTCGTTGCATAAACTTTCCCATACTTATGCATAGAAGTGTGGTGTTCAAAAGGCACAACCCGAAGAAATTCGAAATTAAGGGAATCGTATAACTTCATCCAATTTGAGCGCACAACCAATTACTGATGAGTACTGGTAGCTTCACTGTGAGAACAACACAATATTGTTAGACCTGTTTGAATTGATGCTCCAGCAGAAAGGCCAATGCTACACATCACGTTCGTTTATACCTTGCCGATCTCCCATCTCCAGTGCCGTAATCGCGAAACGGTTTTACAAAACCCATCTCTTGGACCTATTATTGGATAGGATAAACTGGAGTGCAAGACGGGTTGAAAGTAGGCAACGATACAACCACAGAAAAGAGGAAAAAACTTTTTAATCTAATTATCATGAACGTCCCTTCCTCGGTAGAAGTAACTTAGTAAGAAGAATTTGAGACTCATATATGAGTGCATGAGGTAGATTACTTACGGATAAATTTACTTAAGCAATAAAATGGACTACAAGGCGTAATTCCAATGCCCTGGTACGAAACCACACATTGGCAATTTCTCAAAGAAATTGGCAAACAAAGTGATTATGAGCAACTACATTTAATTACAGTCAGAGACGTGGAAAAGGCTCGCAGTTATCGTTCGTTTCTATTAAGAAATACAACGTCGTTGTAAAAATACGGAAGGTAGCATAAGCAAGCCTTTTTAAACAACCAATCTTTCGATCAATAAGCACTCAAATGTCTTGCCACTTCCCACTTCAGCAGCACAATTAGTGCGATTCAGTCCTAGACGGTGTTTAAAGTATGATTGCATAAAATTGCCGCGAGCTACGTAAAGGACCATAGTTGGCATTGTTAATATCTAAGGTTCAGAAAAGCTGTTACAATCGACGACATTGCAATATTAAGGAGGACAATTGTCAACGATAAAATGAATTTGAATTCCTTATAGGAACAATGGAATAGTTAAATCGGTTCCCTCCTCCAAACTTCACAAACGCAAACCATTCTTTTGTTTTTTACATTGGTACATATGAGTACTGCGGGGAGGCGACGTACGAAAAAGTTGTCTATTTGAATCAAAAACCTCTCCGAACAATGCTCAGACAATCGACAAACAGCGGGGTAAGTGACATGCAGCAATAGCTCGGCTGACACCGCACTCACGAGCTACTAAGAAGGAACGAGATGGATTTATGGCTTCAAGTAACACTACAGACTATGTGTTACCATACACTTGCCTACATTGCGGGTATTTCGACAATGCTTGGGTGAGTCGGATAAAAATGAAGACTTACGTCCTCTGTAAGAGAGCAGTCATCCTCAAATACCACAAATTGGCGATACCGCTCCAATTCAACTTTCGAAAGACGGTTGAGACTTGCAGAGACAGCCTGAAGTAATATCAGTTACATACCAAATGAATGCAAAAGCAAAAAGAATAGTGGCTTAAAAATGGTTACCCCCCTCCCCCTCCAAAGTTTCGGGTCACTGTGCGTTTAAGCTACAAAGCAAAAACATCCCAGATCAGCCAGTACAATACAAATAAGACGACGTTAGTTTATAGTTCAAAAGAGTATCAAAATTTTGATAAAACCAAAAGGCATTGATTCAAGATGACTTAATAAGGTGAAAAGGATTGTAACTCAATCTGACACGCTAAGGTGGCTGCATATTTTAACGATCTTTTATTCAACCCGTATTAGAAGTGAATCATTATTTTCAATAATTAAACCGCAATATTTCAAAGGCTGATCAAAACGTAAATTATGTACCTGGTCAGACTGATTGAAAATGAGGTGCCCAGATTAAAATTAAGCACAAATTGAGGAAAGGAAAGAAAGTATGAATTAACGATAAGTACAGATAGGGTTAGGGAAGGTTAAGATATGACATCAAACCTTTCTAGACTAAGAATTACCACAAAAAAGTAAAAACCGGCTAGTTAGTCAATAGTATCAAGACCTCAGCAGCATTTCCTTTGTGACCCTTCAGTTGTTGTAATCGTAAGCAGCAACCACACATACGATTGTTAAAGGCGCTTTTAAGTTCCTTGGACTAATTTGGTTGAAGTGCCGAAAGGGTGCGCGCTTTTAACTCAATGAACATGGAGAGTGAGAGAGTGAGCACCGGCCGGGAAGTCATGTCTCAACACTCAGTGGAAGTGTACGAAAAAGAGCAGCAGCAGCCTCCACTGCCTCCCTGATTAGCTAACGCGCCGAAGCATTAACACTCAGACTTGCGTGTCTACGATTGTTACTTCAGAAGCCCTTGCAATTGCACGTGAGGACGGGGTAACCAATTGAATAAATAAAGATTGGAGTGCAACGAATGAGTAAGATGAAGTCGCACCTCATCGAGAGATTCGTATGTGTACCAGGAAGGGAAGTGAACCTTTGACCAATCAATGATGACGTCGTCAGTAGCACTACGAAAGCCGCGTGGGCCAAGATAACGAGCCAGCTCGAAGGTAGGGGAAGCGAGAAGGCCGCCCAGCAAGGAGGCGGCGAGAGGCGAGCCACGACACAATGCCGGCAATTCTGCGTACAATCCCGTATTTGCAAGGTACTCACGCGAAATCGACGCACGCGTAGCCAAGAGACTTGCAACCTCGCCATCGTCCATGTCTGCCTCTACGCTTTCCTACAATTCGTACACAGTTCAGACACACCAATCGCCCTTCATCTTGTGATAAATTCGAATGTTCTGATGGATCTTTAAGCAAAGTGCCAAAACGCTAAAAGGTAAGGGAGTAATTCAGGAAAAACTATATAACCCCGAATCTGAAGGCACGTGGCTAATCAGCGCCGAATACCAACTGATAAGTAGAAGCTGTCACTGATGTCAATCTTTTACGTCATGCAATGTTCTTGAAGGCCGGGTGAGCTGTTCACACTTTACACGTTCTACAACTGACGCCATTTATCTGGTTCAACAGTTATCTTATCCTTGAGAGCCCATTCACAGTGTGCACAGGCGGTCGAAATTATCAGGAACCAAGTGACCCACAGATAAATGGAATGCAAAAAAATGAACCTGAGAACAACATCGCTTGATAAGTTGAGAAGGTAGGACCAACTCAGTAGATTATTAAATAGCCACAACCACCATAGACTACACCATAAAATTGAAAAATAGCTGGAAGTTATTCCTGGTTATTCAACCAAGTTACGTAGTAGTCAGCATCCGTCGTTCTTAAAACTGAAGAGTATTTACTGTACTTTGTGTTGTGTAGAACTAACACCCCAGCCATAATGTAAAAACCTCACTCGAAAACCATTTACCTTTAAACATCCTATAAAACAAAAGAGCAAGTCAAGGTCTAAAACTCCTGCGAAAACGAATGAGATACCACAGAAACCGTTGTGTCGATTTGTTGCTCTGATTTTCGCGTTCAAGCGACTTCTATTAAAAAACTGTGAGAAGCGTGTTTACAACTCTCGGAAAGCAGAATCAAACATATCGCCGACGAAAACTTTAAAAACAAACCAAAATTATGGTTAACAAAGTACCTTGAACATGGTATTCTTGGTAAAGATGGAATTAACACGATCGAAATTTGTATATGGACACAAAATCATACTCAGCACCTTCCTCACATGTATTGGATGAGCGTACCATTTTGACTGGAGTGAGGACACGCTGAAGTATGCTCATGTCTCGTGAGGTGACAACAAAGGCGGCGGGGAGAGAACCAAGAGCACTGACAACACAATCGTCCCAGACATCGTCAAGGACAATGAGTAGGAGGGAGGCAGGGGAAACGGAGTGTGTATCGAGCACCCCTGAACTTCGATACTGGCGCGCTATCAACAATTTGTGTAGTAATGATGTCATCTTGTTTACATCTCCTTCGCAGCTTCGATAGGGCTCATCCCTCTTATCCTCACTGCCCTGCCTTATGCACCTACTCTGAGAAGGCAGAGAATCCACATGTTCGATCAAGGCAGAAAGCACATCGATCACCTGTTGATTTTGCTCAACTCCCCTCTTCTCCCCAACTCGCAACCACACAACACCTACAAGAAAACTTGGTCAGTGCCAACTATTACTCACCTCCCGCGAATGTATCAGTTAGTAGTTGACGATTCTGCCGCAGTACAGCGGCAGTCATTACGGACTTTCCCTGTCCGGGTGGACCGTAAACAAGGAACCAAGCATTAGTAGGGATGTCGGAATGAGAAGTTGTATCGTTGTCCAGTGAACCATCCTGACGTGCGAGCAAGGGGATGGGCCGAAATTTGCCACCCAACCATCGAAACCCGTCAGTAAGCTTAGCGATCGTCTGTGGTCGATTAATATAAGCCGTCGGTCTATCAGGGACAGCACCGCGCAGCAGAGTTTGGTGAATATCTGTTAAACTCAACTGACGATTTCTAAAATGAAGGGACATTAGAGAAGAACGCAGACGCACTCAGACTTACTTTGAAAATGACACCTTCTCGAGTTGTTCTTCTAAAGTTTTGGCTAAAAAAGGCTGCTCTTGTAAAAGAGCATCTTGAAAGCACTTAAAAGCCTCATTCGACTTTCCAAATAAAAATTCCAGGAAAGCTCGCGCCCTGTCCATGGGAGTAACCTTCGTTGTTATCCTTTCATACTCATCCCGGGAGATGTGCTCTCCACCAATAAGATGATCAAGAATTTCGGTGGTGTTCAGGCTTTGGACGAATGTCGGATAGCACCTCTTTAAAGCCGACAACTTGTTTTCGTCCATACTTCCAAGGCATTAAGGCAAGCTCAAGGCTGAAGTCAGTGTAAGTAGTGCAAACTTTAATTGACAATAAATACATACGCCTTTCATAAATGGCAATGGAACAAATAAGTGTTAACGAACCAATATTTATTGTCAACTTCCACTGGTTTCCCATAAATTACAGCAACAATACATTAAAAAATCTCTGAGGATTCAAAGGAGGAATGAGGTAGAATAAGGAGACCAACTCATTCAGTAGGTTGCGAAGAATAGAGACCGGAAAAAGGATAGACACAAAATAGTTTGTTAGAAGAAAACTAGACTTCTGATTATTTACGGTTAAGCCAAG